GAGCCCCCCCTCCCCCTTCCCCCCTCCCTCGCCGTCTTTGTCTCCTTCCCCCCTGCTCTCCCCACTCCCCCCACCCCACCCCCCTCTCCTCTCCTCCTCCTCTTTTTTAGAAGCAGCGATCGGAGATGGATGTGTCTCTTTGCCCAGCCAAGTGTAGTTTCTGGCGGATTTTCTTGCTGGGAAGCGTCTGGCTGGACTATGTGGGCTCCGTGCTGGCTTGCCCTGCAAATTGTGTCTGCAGCAAGACTGAGATCAGTTGCCGGCGGCCGGACGATGGGAGCCTCTTTCCCCTCCTGGAAGGGCAGGATTCAGGGAACAGCAATGGGAACGCCAGCATTAACATCACGGACATCTCAAGGAATATCACTTCCATGTAAGTCAGGCGGCCGCTCCCCGGCCCGCCTCTCCCCTAGCTCCGCGTTTCCCTCCTGCGGGCCCGCGGCCCGGAACCAGCTCTCCACCCGCCCCGGCTCGCCGCTGCCTGCCGCCTGCGGGCGCGCGTCAGGCTCGCTCTGGCTCGGGAGATGCTCTCGGGCTGCGCGTTCCAGGTGACTCTGGCCCTGGCGAGGCGCGATCGGGCGATGTACCTGTGCACCTCTCCCAGGAGAGGACCCCAGCCGACCGAGGGCACTCAGGGCCCAGCTCCCGCCCGCGCCCCCGCCCCCGCCCGCCGCTGGCTCGATTCAAGGGTGCGAATTTGGACTCTTTGCCCCCCACTAAATAGCAACAGTTTGGCCACGCTCAAGTGGGATAAAGTAGACGAGGTTCGATTCACCGGCAGAGGCGGCGGCAGCTATAGTGGCCGCGGGGGCAACGCTTAGCCTAGCCCACAGGGAAGGTGACAGATAGAAACTGCTAGCCATCTAGCCGAAATGTTTTAACTGTTTCCTTTTGGAAACAGCAAAACACGCTGCCAAGTAAACAAGTTGGGAGCTGGCAGCTCGCGGGAGACTTCGGACGTGTGGAGGCCGCCATGGACGCCTACCTCTTCCCTTCCCTCTGGCCGCCCTCTCCAGCCCCATTTTGGGCATTTCCGAGACATCTCCCTTTTCTGTATCTGGGCACCTCCACATCCCTTCCCATTCTGGGCTTTGATAACTGCTCTTGGAGGATTGGGTCAGGATGGTGAAGGAAGAGGAGAAGCCGTGTGTTTGGGGCTCGCGGTTTCTGGTGTGGTTGTGCAGATATACTTGTTTGGAAAATTGAACTCTAGCTGGCTTTTGCTGGGTTCTGCCTCCTCTGAGTGAGACCTGTGGTGGCCTGCCTTTTTTCTGCTTTTTCTTTGGTGGGCACTGGGTGGGGGGGAGGCAGAAGCAAAAGGAGGGAGAGCAGGAGCTCGGGGACTCCAAGCCTAACCACCTTTTCTCTCCTTGACCTCCCATCATGCTGCCCTGGGAAGGGTGTGAGTGGCACTGGGGTTGTTTAGAGGGTGGCTCACCCCTATTTTCCTCCAAGGCTCTCACCCTTTGGAGACCCCCAGGAGTGAGAGGAGGATGAGAAGGGTTTGCACTGAAGTCCTGGCCAGAGTCTGAGGAAGGCATTTGGGGTGTCTTTACCTCTGGGGCAGATTCAAGAGGGGCCAAACCCGCCTTGGGTGCTTGCGGCTCTCTCAGAACCGCCTCGGTTTTAGCCCAGTGCCCTGGGGCTGCAAAGCCCGGAGGAATTGCAGCCCTGCTCTCTTGAAAACCGCCAGCCCTCTTGGCTTAATGGAGTCTCTGCTTGTGTTCTTGCAGCTGACAGTTTGAGGGGAATGGACAGCCCAGGAGATGTCCCTCACTCCTGCCCAGGAGACAAGCTTGACCCATATCTCAGCTCATACTGTTCACCCCCTCATCCCCTTCAACCCGGCCAGAGATGACAAAGACAAACAACCAGGGGGGAGGGAGAAAGGGGGAATGGGGGAAGGCAAGAGAAAGAGGATGGACCCACTTGTGCCTGTCCCTCCCTGCAGGCCACAGCCTCTGGCATCCCCAAGGATGCAGAGAGGAGAGTCCAGAGTGAGACTGTCAGGGAAACTCAGACTTGGAAGTACACTGTTGGGGCTGTGTGTGTGGGAGGTGGGGGGAGTTTGGTGATCAGTCTTGGTGCCCAGGGTCTGGACCTAGCAATTTCCAGTGGGCCAAGGGGTGGAGGAAAGTGTCCCCGGTGCCCAGTGTTGGTCTCTGGGAGTTGGGTGAGCTGCATCTAGCTTGTTCTCTGCCCCAAGGATGTGTGTTTCTGTAGGACGCCAGTGGGAGGCAGGGACAGTCACAATCACGTAGGCTCTTTATAGCCATACAGAGGTGTCGCTCCTCTGAAAATGATGCTCAGAGAAGCAGTTTGATAGGAAAGAGTTGGGTTGGTCTTTCCAGGCTGCCAGAAGGGTCCATGATGGGAGGGGCCTGGGGTGGTGGTGAAGGGCCTCAGGGGGTGTCTGGGAGGATAGTGCTCAGGGAGTGGGTTGGGAGCCTTTCTCTGTGTGTGTCCCCATTCTTAATTTCAAGTCTTAGGCTCTGGCAGGCCATCAGGACCCCTTTCCCTAAGTCCACCCCAACATCAAGGAACAAGGGAAACGGATTCCCACCAGAGCTCTGCCAGTGGCAGGTGGGGGGGGGTCAGAGGTCATGGGTCAGATGACCTCTCCCCACCAGTCTCCTCCCCAGTGTCCTCTTATATCTGTGGCTGCTATTGACTGAACTGGGGAAGGGCCCAGCCTTCCAATCCAGAGGCAGAGAGCCTGGGGAGAGAGAGGGCAGTCTCACTCACCCTGGGAAGTCATGTCCCCATCCCTATTTTGCCTGAGGAAATGGAGGCTGAGTGGTAAAGTAACTTTCCCAGGTACACAGCTCCAGAGGGGGAGCTAGGCTTAGCATCTGAACCCAGGCCTCCCATGCTGGGGGAGGGCAGGCTGGAAAGGGAGTGTGGGGGAGAGAGGAATCCCCACTGGGGAGGCCCCTGGCCTTAGCATGATGTGGAAACAGGGCTTCAGCTGAGGCCACTTCAGTGCTGGAGAGGTGTTCTTCAGGTTTCTGATGTTGCCAGGGCAATGGGGCCACAGGGTCCCCCAGACCCTGTCAGCCTGAACCTCTACATGCTGAGATATGCCCCAGGGTGTAGATTGGGCAGCCTCTGGGCATGAAGAAGAGACTGGAGCCTCACAGATTCATGGACTTAGGGAAAAGAGGTCTCGCTGTGGCTCTGCTTCTCAGGAGTGGTGTGTGGAGGGTTCCTCATGCACTTGTCCTGGGAGCCTGCCTGAGAGCTGCTTCTCATGCGGGAAGCCATCTCCTTACTTGACAGCCCCATCAGTGTCAGGAGGACATCAGCTGCAAGGCATTAGGCCAGAAGTGTGGGTCTCACCTCTGCCCCTCCCAGAGCCAAGTTGCTCCTTAGACACCCCCCCTCCCGTTGGCCTCTTTCTGCTCAGGAGGCCAATCTTTTGCCTTTGGAGCTTTGACACATGGTGACCTCGCCTAGAAGGATCTGTGGCGCAGCCACGCCCAACCAGTTTCTGACATTACAAAGGCAGGAGGGTGGTGGCTGAGGTGGGCTGTCTGGGCTGCCTCTCTGGGGCTGGGTTGGGATGGTGTGACCTTTGGCTGTTAGACAGAAGATGTGTGGGCAGGTGTTCTTGGGGCTGGATGGCTGGGCTTGAAAAAACTATGGGCTCTTAGCTGGGACTCTGAGTCACCACCTGGGTCTCACTCTGGCTGCCACTGGGTCCCTGATATTTGGCAGCTGTCTGGTCCCTTTATTTCTGCTGCCTTTCCTGAAGGCCCCCTCATGTTTGGCTGAAGGTTCATTTGGGCTTTTAGCTGATGTACTGGCCCCTTGGTTCTCAGTCTTTCTAGGATCAAGGGACACCCAGCCTGGGCAATTACCAGTGAGGGCTGGGATCCCGGCGGGCGTATAAGCCCAGCCCCAAAGGTATCATGGGGCTCATTCAGTAGGCACAGTGAGGTACCGCAGGACTGGGGTTGCACCCAAGAGAGGTAGGCAGAGACAGAAGGGCCTCTGAGGGGAGATTAGAAGGAGGACTGGTTACAGCTCACGAAAGGGATACTTCCAGATTGAAAGCTGGGCCCCTGGACTCCAGAGGTCCTGCTGGTGGGGTCCAGACCCTCCCTGGAGCCAGAGGACTGTGCCCCAGCAAACCTAGTAGGCTAAAGTCCTGCTGTCCATGCTGGGGCCAAGGCCATCAGCCCTGTAGCTTCATGGGACCTTAGAACATGACCGCTTTGAGCAAAACCAGCCCAGCCTGTCCATATCATTGAGAGAGCTTGTATACTGACCCTAGGAGGCTTGAGCCTGGAAACTTCTCAGGGCCCTGCAAAGCTCCAGCTGCCTCCCACCTGGCTGAAGTGGAAGGTGCTGCTCTGAGAAAGGGAGGGCCTCTTGGAAGCCCTTTTCTTTGCCTTGCCCCTCTGCCTGCTGGCTCCTTCTTCTGTCTGACCGGGGAAGGACCAGGGTCCCCTCAGCTAGCTCTTGGGTGGAGTGTGGTTGGCCTGTGGCCTTCCCTTGGGATTGCACTTGCTAGTGTCATGGCATCTTCACTGTGGCCTGAGGTCTCCATCTGAAGTGTTTTACTGGGTGTCTGGGACAGAGTTGTCCAGCCTCCCCTTGGGGCCTCCGTTTGACTGGTGGCAGGTTAGGATTAGGGAAGAGGATGGGCCATGTGAATCTCACCTTAGCGCTGTCCCAAACTCCCCATAAGCCAGAGGGCTGTAGCCTTTCTGAGCCTGTAGATTCAATTATGAATTGAGGCCATGGGGCAGTGTCTCCTCCAAATTGGACATATGTCATCCCAGGGTCCAAGGAACATCCCCCAGGAGGCTCAGCCAGGCTACTTTTAAGGATACCTCCCTTGGGATGGTGGTGATGCTTGTGATACTGCCAGGAGGAGGGCATGGTGTGATCTTTCCCTGGCCAGGCACCACTGGTTATTTTCCTCTTCCATTCCTTTCCATCTCTAGAAAACTTGGGGTCACTCAGAATTTCACAGCATTTGTGACATATGACACAATTTGGGGTTAGCTTCCTGGACCAAATGCCACACTTTACAAGAATGTGTTGGGGCCTGAAGCTTGTCATAGCCAGGTTTGTAGCCTCCCCTCTGCCCCCTGGGCTTAGGGTGAGGAGGACCTGTCCCTCTGCAAAGCTTTCTGCACAGGCCCTCCCCTGGGTGCGAGAAGAAAGCATTAAAACTTCTATTTCAAATTATTATTGCCTAGAAAAGGGAGTGTTTAAATATGTATTGTAGGCATATATACATATAATTTAATAAATATGACTGTTTGGGGTTACAAAATCAATTTTTTATTGCTAAATCATACATACTCAAAACAGCTTGGTGCCGTGTTCTTGTGCTTGAGCAGGAGATAGGGCAGTGACAGG